ATGTAATCAAAAACTATGTGTACCCCTCAAAGCTATTGAAATAGAAATACAAAAGAAAAAAAAAACTAATCATTTTGTTCTTTTCACCCAGTGCCACCACACATCTTTTTCAGCCTTCCTCCTTCAGAAACTTCTAGAAGCGCTGGAAAGTATCTTGAAACCGCTTACTTCTCTCAGTTTCCTGACATGAGAATTGGCCTCATAGCATTTTGACAAGAGTTTTCTGAAATCGATTTGAATGCTTTTTAGTTATAGAGAACTCAGGACCTCAAAAGACAGTCCATTTTATTTCTGTACATCTCTGCTGGCAACAAGGCTCTTCTTTATATCATGCTAATATTTACCTATTTGTTTTTTCTCTTGTCTTTATCTTCTTTTTTTTCTTTTGAGTTGGAGTCTCACTCTGTCGCCCAGACTGGAGTGCAGTGGCCACTCCTGGCCACCGCAGCCTTGACCTGCTGGGCTCCGGCGATCCTTCCACCTCAGCCTTCCAAGTAGCTGGAACTACAGGCACGCCCTACCATGCCCAGCTAATTTTTGATTTATTGTAGAGATGAGGTCTTGCCAAGTTGCCCAGGTGGGCCTCAAACCCGCGGGCTCAGGCAATCCACTCACCTCAGCCTCCCAAAGGTGTGGGATTACATTGTCTTTATCTTCTAAGTCCACACTGAAAGAAAAACAACAACAACAAAAGGCCAGTGCGGTGGCTCACCCCTGTAATCCCAGCACTTTGGGAGGTTTAGGAAGGAGAATCACTTGAGTCCAGGAATTTGAGACCAGCCTGGGCAACATAAGAAGACCTGTCTCTATTAAAAATTTTTTTAAAAATAAGCTGGATGTGGTGGTGCATTCCTGTAGTGCTAGCCACTAAGGAGGCTGAGGTGGAAGGATCACCTGAGCCCAGGAGGTTGAGGATGTGGTGAGGTGTGATTGTGTCACTGCACTCTAGTCTGGGCAACAGAGTGAGATCCCAACTCAAAAAAACAACATAACACGACATGAAATAAATAAAATAGGAAAAAGCCACTGCCATTAGCACATGGCAGTTCCCTCAGGTGTTGGGGACAACTCTGAGAACCCACCCCTCATTTTCTCTCAATCTTCTCTCAAGTATTCAAATTCTCAAGTATTTCTCTGTTCTTTACATAACACTGTCTTCAGATTTTTTACTGTCTTAGTATTTCACTTCTCAAGTAATCCTTTGCAAGATTATGGGGCAATTGTTTTATTTTCCATACAAATCTGTTTCAGTGTGTTGTCAAGCATTTTAGCTAATGTGCTGTATGCAAGCTTTGCCTCTTTTATCAGAAGCATATCGCTACAGAGACAAGAGAAATCCTTCAGTTCTATAAAAATTGCTTCTCCGCCTTAATCTCCTAAGTAACAGTAAAATATTTTCCTCTGTCCTTCTTATTTCGTCTCAGCTTCCACAGTTTCCCCCAATGGCTTTCTGATATATCTTATCCTTAGAACTAAAATTTTAGATAAAAATTTTTTTTGTTTTTGACTTGAGGTCTCACTCTGTGAGCCAGGCTTAAGTACAGTGGCACAATCACAGTTCACGGCAGCCTCAAATTCCTGGACTCAAGCGATCCTCCTCTTCAGCCTCCCAAGTAGCTGGGACTACAGGATGCACTATAAGCCCTGGTTCTGTTATTTTTTTTATTTTTTGTTGAGATGAGGTCTTGCTATGTTGCCCAGGCTGGTCTCAAACTCCTCAGCTCAAGCAATCCTCCAGCCTTGGCCTCCCAAAGTGCTGGGATTACAAACAAGAGCTACCACGAATGGCAAAACATTCTAGAAAAATTTCACTACCGAAATGGGGAATCTGTATTGCACATTCAAAAGGAAGCCTTGCTGGAGGAGGGTTGCTAGAACGCAGTGTAAGATCCAGTATTCTACTGCTGGCTTTGCAAATGACGATCACATTTCTTCATAACTACCATCTGATATGTATTTTAAAAATTTTGATCACTTCCTATTATTTTGAGTAAAAAAGTCTACGAAGGAAATATTGTTGAAATAGGACTTAAGGAACCAGAATAAAAATGGATCTGTTCCAAGCGGGCAATGCTGAGGAAAATAATTGCAAATAGGATGCGTGCGTGTCCCAAGAGACTTCAGTATGCTACACCCCAGTGTCTGTCAGAGAGAAGAGATTGTTTCTTAAGATAAGAGTTTATAGGTGCAAGACCTGAATTGCTATTCAGAAACCATTTTAAGTGGAGTGTATAAAAGCAAACCGGAAGCAGGAGTGGGAATAAGGAACATAGTTTGGTTTATGAAAATATTTGCAATTTTATGGAATTACATAAAGGTATTCCTTAAGACAAAACAGATAACTCTAGACTTAATCCCAGAAATGTGCAGTCAGTGAACTTTCCTTGCAATGGAATCTTGTTGTTACTGTACATACGAGGGGAAACCCCCAAAACAGGGAATTTATTTATAAAAAATTGTGTATTCATTCTTACATGTTTAAACTTCAGTTACTTTCAAAGTACTCTCTGTTTGATGCAATACATCTGTCGAGATGCTTTTTCCACCTCTCAAAAGTTTTTGAACCTGTCAAGTTTGATGCCTTTTAGTGCTTCTACTGTTTTCTGTTTCACCTCTTCCGCCAGCAAAATGTTTCTCTTTGAAGACCTTTTTCATCCGGAGAAACAAACAAACAAAAAAGTTCTCAGGGTGAGATCAGGTGAATATAAAGGGTGGGGCACAGGGGGTCATGTCATTTCGGATCAAAAACCTCTGAACGCTCAACACAGTGAGGGCAGGTGCATTTGTAAATCACCTCTCATGAAATGGGCAAACGCGTTAAAAGAATCTCAAATTTTTTTAAATTTGCTTTGGCTGAAGTCAAAGACAGCCTGACCCAACAATGCTAGCGGGTTCATTGATGCCCATAGTTTCCTAAAACACTTACCTAGTGGGAGAAGCCTGCACCACAAGGGGCCCGCCCTTGAAAAAAATAATTCCCGGGGATTTTTTAAGTTCCCTCTTGTATAAATACACTAAACTTCCTGTAGTACCTCCCACCCCCGCCAGAAAAAAGATATTTAAAACCAGATCACAGGACATACTCGAGGTATTCTTAGATTAGGTCATATTACATAGCATGTCATATTACACAGATGTCAATGATATTTTGAAAAATATCTTCAATTCCCACAAAGTATTGCTGAAAAGACATTTCAGTTTTCTTCTTCCTGTGGTGATGCTTCCAGTCACTTCCTGATGGCATGACAGCATCACTTCCACCTGTCCCACCTTGGGGCACACCACACCCCACCTCCATGTCCCAGTTGAAATGTAATAATCCTTAGAAAAAAATCCCCTGCTGTTGTAGTATTTTTTTCTAATGCAGTTTTTCAATGTATGCTTCTATGTTGAGACCCACTCACAAGAAATATAACAATTTTAATTATTTGCTTTTTTAGAAAACAAATTATGTAATGATTATGAAACACTGATTACTTAGCAAATAAAAATAACTTTTGGCTATCTAAAATTATATCTGACTTTCACATTTGTCTTACTGTACCTCTCCTGAGGTTCCATGACAAAGAATGAAGTTTCATTAATCAAACTAATAAGAGGTTATTAGCATGAATACAATCCTTCTTCTATCAAATGGACATGGACCAGGGGCATGCACTGTTAATTTTAGGTTTCTCTGCCAACTCCCTCGTGATTTCATATGTTTTTTTTAAAACAATTTTCAGATTGAATATAGGATAACTACAGACAACACAGGTTTGTGGATCCCACGGGACATGAGTTTGATTTCTGGATTTCTCTACCTCTATTATTTATTATTTTTCCTGTGCAAAACATGAGTAATAGTCACATCTAAGTGCATGCTGAGAATTATGTGTAAAAATATTTATTAACGGACTTAGAAAAGAGTATAAGGTTGATAAATACTAGCTATTATTCTTGCCATTATTATTGAGTATTTATAATCTCCTAGTATACATTTAACCGTAAATCCTTCATTTTTCTGGGTAAAATATAATTGGCAAAATGCTACCGGGATAGTATTAACTCTAGAAACAGACAGACAAAAGCTGTTGGTGCCAAAGACCTGGAATAAATGAATTTCTGCGACTTCTACTGTAGATGAGTCCATTTGTCACTGCTGTATTTGAATTTAGGATCAGCTTTTCCCTTATATTAAAACAAGGCCATGTTTTCAATATCTGTTTCCCCAAATGCTCCCCCCAAAAAAAAAATCCCGGAGAGAATCATGAAGTCGCAGTCCTTCCCATTGTATTAAAATTACATAAACCCTTAACGGAGATTGATGTGAATGGCACATCTAACCACTGAGGTTCTGGGGAGGTTTCCCTCCTAACCCTCACCACACCACGGCATATTATGTCTGATCTATGTGGGGTGTCTCCGGGCTTTCAGGCAGTGAGGTTTTCAATGCGTTTGGTGTGAGTCATAAATGTAAATGTTCATTTCTGCTTGTTCTGTGCCTCTTGCAAGTCCAAGCTCTTCACCAGCAGACGTTTCCGAACCCCCTGCTGGGCCGTCATTGTCAGGTCCTCAGTGCCATCTAGTGTCTGATGGCAGCAGAGGCGTGACACTCCTTGCTGCAGAAACACACCCGCCACCTCGCACCCGGCAGAAAATAGCTGGAGTGCAGCCACAGGGCCAGTTGTCTCTATGACTTCCTAGATGGTGGGCTTTTGAAAACTTAAGCCTCCGCTCAAATCGGATGTGTTTCAGATGATCTGCGTTCACTTCAACGCCATTAAGGGCTCAAGCAAACACAGTGTTGCTTTTATTGCAAAGACTTTCTTTGCCACGATTTTATCACTTGCAGCTGCCATTGTACAAATATCACTTTCTGGAAACGAGGGCGTTCTGATGATCCCCTTGAAACCACAACACGCTTCTCACGGTGCATGTGTCCTTTATGAGAACCATTGCCATCTCTCCAGAGTTCTGATGTGTCTCTCTCCCTCTCTCTCTCTCTGTCTCTTTTTCAGATTGTCTACAAAGCCTGGCTCTGTTCCCAGTATTTTGAAGTCACACAGTTTAACTGCAGAAAGACAATTCCTTGCAAGCAATATTGTTTGGAGGTTCAGACGAGGTGTCCGTTCATATTGCCCGACAATGACGAGGTCATCTACGGAGGCCTCTCCAGTTTCATCTGTACAGGTACAGTTCGGGGTGGGGTCTGGCCAGGAGTCTCTGGTGGTTTGGCTTTCTTCTGTGATGCTCATCTGCCGTGTTGTTTCCTTCCACTGATCTAACCTTGAAGAGGCGCCTGGTAGTTTTCCATGCTTTCGTTAATAGGAGCACCGAAAACACCCCAAAACCGGTTTGGAAATGATTCAGCTTTCCAGGCCCCACTGTCCACACTGTAACTGAGGCCACAATTATTAACTTTGCAGAAGGACGATAACGAAAGCAAAATATTAGCAACCAGCAGGTATATGTATGTGGGGCTTAGAGTCGGTTAGGTGCCGTCTGCAGGCTCTCTGTGTTACATAAGAACAGATGGTGAGCTAAGGCCGGTGAGATGTCTGTTTTCTGAGAATTTTTTGTTATTTTATTTTTAAGAAGTATGAAATGCATAGAGAAATCTCTGCCCAAGTTAAGTGCATGTGTGTGTGTGCACTTGCATGTTGGAGCCACAGGATAAGGGCCAGGTACAAATCTATCTCATATTTTCCATGAACAATGTTTACTTCTCCTAACAAATGATTCAGACTGGGGGGGGGACAGTATGAGCATTCATTTTCTGGGTATTTATAAAAGTATTACATAATTTAAACATGATAGAATGTAAAAGATAAGCGTAGTCTGTTTTTTAATGAGTGATAAATAGTGAGAACAAGATACTTTGCCAGAGTGGTGTGAGAATTAGAGTTGTTCTGTATTCTCTTTTAGTAAGAATAACAGTGTACCATATCCCTGTGACAACATGGTTCAAGCGTGGCATGTCTAGTTTTCAAGTTTTAAAGATAAAACATTATCCTAAGTTTGGAGAAACAGGAAAATTCTCTTCCTACATTAGACTTTAGGAAATGCCTCTAAAACAGGCATGTTGAGATGATCAATGTGAGAATTCACCAGATAATTTCTAGGTCACTTATTTATACACCTATCCACTCACCATGTTGCTCAAAGTGATAACCAGCCATGAGACAGCCTACCACGGTTCTCCCCTAAGAAGCAACCCACCCCAAGAACAGGAGGAGTGTTTCTTACACTGCCCGAGCTTGTGGGAAGAGCATCTGGCTGAAGCTAGGAGACACGGGCCTTCTTTTTATTTCTGAGATGCATTCACTCCAAGATCCTGTCTTTGCACTAGTCACTCCCTGATAGCAATACCTCTTGCCACCATGTCCGCCTGCTACGAGGGTCACAGTTGAGGAAGAAGAGCAGGGTCTCTCATTAGTAGGCAACAGCCATTGTACACAAGAGCGTGACGTGTGGAATTTAAAAATCGTTTTTGTTATTCTACTTATTTTCATATAGCTGCACTCTGCTTGGGTTGGAGGGGAAAGGAGAGGGGAAGAGAGACAAAAGAGAGGGGAGAGGAAAGGGTAAAGGAGAGGGAGAGGGAGAGAAAGAAGGAAATGGATGACCGGAAGGGAAGGAAGGAGGGAGGGAATGAATAACCTTGCTTTGAGTCTGAGATGAAATTCACCAGACACAGGCTATTAATTTATCTGGAATTTCATATAGAACTCTCCACAGATAACCAAGAAGATAAGGCCTTCATGTTTTGACTGTGGGTCAATAAGGTGTCTGTGGTGTTAGGACTTCAGAGAGACTCGCAGATTTTAATGTGAAGGTTGCGTTTCTGCATCCACACACACATTGCTTTTTTTCTAGAGAAAGACAATAGCTTCCACCAGGTTCTCAAAGCAGATGAAAACCCCAAATGAAGAGTATTTGTCTCTATCATCAATTTTTTTTTCAGCCTCCATCTGCATCTGTGGATCTGAATTATGTGTTTGAATGTGTGTCCCCTTCTCCACACCCTTCAAGGCCACCAGAACACTAAAGATAGGATTCCATCTCCTTTTGCACAACACGAACAAGGAACCCAACTTGTCTTTTCATTGTTTTTAAGTATAGTAGAAACAATATCTTCACATCCCTAAAGGTCATGGCTACATCCTTAAAGAAAAACAGCAGGAAAAGAGAGATTTGTCATGGGGACCAGAGAAAAACGTTCGCCCCATTAGAGGCCTTCTGGGATTGTCTCATCACTGCATACGCAGAAAGCTTCCTGCTCACTTGCCACTGTGGGTTGGGCTTATGGTCATTTTTTGCTCCACACACTTCAGAAATGTGCAGAATAAATCCTGAAGGCATTTTGCCCTGACAAAAAAGATCATAATTTTCTGACTGATCTTTTGTTCAAAGATGCCACTCAGGTCTCTGAAGAAAAAAATTTTTTTTTCGTTTTTTCAGATACAGGAGGCCCAGGCTGGAATGCAATGGTATGAGCATAGCTCCCTGCAGCCTCAAACTCTTGGATTCAAATGTTCCTCCTACCTCAACCTCCTGAGTAGCTGGGACTACAGACGTGTGCCAACATCCTTGGCTAATTTTTAAAAATATTTTGTAGAGATGGGGGTTTCGCTATATTGTCCAGGCTGGTCTCCATCTTCCGGGATCAAGTGATCCTCCTGCCTCGGCCTCCCAAAGTGTTGGGATTACACCGTAAGTCACCACACTCTGCCAGAATTCCTATCCATTTTGATCATTGGCAGCTGTCATTTCCCACTGTAGGGCATGGGTGTCCCTTTAGAGTGTCCTCTGCCCCTGAAGAGAGGTGTTTCTCCTACTGTTAATCACTACTGTGTGGCCTTTGCAAATGAGAATCTCCAACATTCTCATGGGCCCCAGGACAATCTCCATCTTGGAAGACCAGCTCCCAGGAGACCACTGTTAAACTGTGGGACCAACGGACTTGTCATGTTTCCAGAAAACTAGTAAGATTTCTATGTAAACATTATTTATTCCCAAACTTTAGGTCATACATTTTTGAAGGCTCATCTCTTACAGATGTACATGAATTTTTAAATAACTTACATTTTAGGGACCAGGCTCGGCAGCTCATTCCTGTAATCCCAGCACTTTGGGAGGTCAAGTTGGGAGGATTGCTTGAACCCAGGAGTTTGAGGCCAGCCTAGGCAACATAGTGAGACTTTGTCCCTACAAAAAAAATTTAGCTGGGCGTGGTGGCTTGTGCCTGTAGTTCTGGATACTCAGAAGAATCACCTGAGCCCAGTAGGTAGAGGTTGGGGTGAGCCATGATTATGAAAAATAAACATGCTTTATTATCATTGTAATTTTTTTGAGTCGGAGTCTCACTCTGTCGCCCAGGCTGGAGTGCAGTGGCATGCTCATGGCCACTGCAGACTTGACCTAGTGGGCTCAGGCAATCCTTCCTCCCCAGCCTTCCAGGTAGCAGGAACTACAGGCATGTACCACCATGCCTGGCTAATTTTTTGACTGATCGTAGAGACAAGGTCTTGCCAAGTTGTCCGGGCTGGTCTCAAACCCCTGGATTCAGGCAATCCTCTTGCCTCTGCCTCCCAAAGTACTGGGGTTACATGTGTGAGCCTACTTCTGGCAAAAAGCAAACATATTTTAAATGAGTTTGGAAGTAAGTGTGATCCATCTCAGGTACCTTTTTGCATTTTGAATGAAATGTCTTCTGCACTCTGGAAGGACCAGCCTAAAAATAAAGATGAGAATAAAACTATTTTTCTTGTTTCCGGTTGGCTGGTGACAACCTAAGGCCAGCTGGATGGCAAGAGCCTTACATATTCACAGGTAGTACCAGGTTTATTGGACTTCTTCCTCATTGAATTAGGTACGATGGCAGTCAGTTAAAAAAAAGTGCTAGGGAGAGAAATTCGCCAAGTGAGACGAACTAAATCTTGCCTGTAGAAAGTTTTTTTTTCTTTAAAAATAAAAAGTGGTTTTATTTCCATTCTAGATGCTAGAAAATGTGTAATCATTTGCCATTAAGAATGGAAAGAAAAGGCCAGGTGTGGTGGCTCATGCTAATAATCTCAGCACTTTGGGAGGTCAAGGTAAGAGGATCACTTGAACCCAGGAGTTCAAGACCAACCTGGGCAACATAGAGAGAGCTCGTCTCTACCAAAAAATTAAAAAATTAACCACACTTGGTGTTGCACGTCCCAGCTGCTTGGGAGGCTGAGACAGAAGGATCAAGCTGAGCCTAGGAAGCTGAGGCTGTTGTGAGCCGTGGTTTTGCCACTGCGCTCCAATCTGGGTGACAGAGTGAGACCCTCAACTAAAAAAAAAAAATTGAAAGAATCGATAGAGGTTTCTTCAAATTCAACAAATTGAATGATATATAATGGCTTTTTTACTATTTGAGGAGCTTCCAACTTTCTGCTTCTAGAAGGATAGAGATTTCCCTCTAGGATATGAAGGACTTTTCACTTGCTTGTCTTATCAACCTCACAAAAAAAAAAAAAAGACTCGGCAAGCACATCGCAGCCTGTGTGGCCTGTTGCCAGACGCTGTCCAAGCGAGGATTGATTTTATGTAAGGCGCTTCTCCTTGGTGATAAACCGGTGGTGTGATGGCCACTTTTTCTTGGTGTCATCTACGCCCAGCATGTTGGAGACGCAGCGCTAGGGACCTCGAGTTCTCTTGTCATCTTATGAGACATATCCTGATACTTCAGATTCCCACCATTCATTAAAAAGGGAAATAAACACCCTTGCGGTCAGTGAACCATTTGGAAGCTTCCAAATTCCTCTCAATAACCAGAAGTTATTTATCACCGGTAACAGTTATTAAATCCAATCTCTCTTCCATCCTTTCTTGAAGGGGGGGCTAAACGTGTCCCCGTTGTCCATTTCAAAGTCTTAAATGTATAATTTTTGGTCACCTGCTCCTTTGCGCACCTGAGCTCGTTAGTAAGCCGGACACTTCCTGTCACAAATGAAACATCTGAGAACTCACACCTGTCCCTCCAGAATGTCTCTGACCGAGGATGTCTCAGAAGGTCATGGCCAAACGTCCGAAGCGCAAGCCTAGGTAACAGAGCGTCTCCTCCTGTGTTTAATGCTTGCCATGCGTTAGCAGATAAAGGAAAGACACTTACTTCACCTGCGATCTCTCTCTCTCTGATTGATTGACTGATTGATTGATTG